CCCTTTCCTCTCGCCTTTTACCTTTTCTTCTTGGGTCTCTCCTTGTATCTCCTACCCACCATCTTCGGTCCCGCGGCAGCAAAGGGCTGGCCGCCCTCCGCTCTCCTGTCCTCTCGCCTTTCCTCTCCTCCCCTGGGGTCTCCAGAGAGAAAGGTGGCCAGGAGGGGTGGGGAAGGAGAAGCCCGGGCAGCAAGCGCAGAGTCGGTCCGCAGCATCCAGGGGCGCCGCCCCGCTGGGCCACCCTGCGGCCTCTTGCGGGTTCGTCGGCGGGTGAAGAGGGTCCCCGGGCCGAGGCGTGGGTGACCTGCGCTTGTTTTCCCCACATGTACCACAGTTAGGCGCTTCGGGGTCTCCGCCTTCAGGGCAGGGGAGGGGCGGGAGATGGAGGCTAGAAGGTCGGTCACGAGAGGAGTTCTAGAGTCCATCCGAGCCCAGGGGCCTGTCCGCGCCGAGGACTTGGAGCGGCAGAGGTAGAAAGGCCTCAGAGAGTCAGCCCCTCCTTTGGTTTCATCCGAGAAGCTGAGGTCCCGAGACTCCCCGGTTCCGGCCATGAGGGAGGGTCTGCACTCCCATCTAGGATCCGCACCACGAGCGCGCGCGCACCCGGGAGAGCCTCATCGGGGGACCCTGGGAGGGGACTGGCGCAGAAGCATTGAGTGCCCCTGCAGGGATCAGGCTGTGCCCTCACTCTCCAGCGTCTTGGACCCTGAGCATGGCTTCTCCAGGTGCGGTGGGGACACAGAGCATAGTGCTTGGGGGCAGAGGAAACAGGACACGGCTGGAGCTGCTACTGTGATCATCAGACATCACTCAGACTTGGCGCGAAGGGCGGGGGGTGCAGCCCTGGCCTGGAATCGGGTCTCTGAGGACATGCCAGAGTAACTAAGAGGGATCGGAGTCTCAATGAGGCCTTCCAGCGGGCGGTCTCACATTTAGCGCCCCGCTCCTACCTTTTTGTACTCTCTCAGGCTGTCATCCTGCTCTCAGCTGAGAGACTGAGGTGGGGCTGTGGCAAGAGCCTTCCGGGGTCCCATGTCCAGCTGTCTGTCCTTAGTGCTGGTCAGAGCGCAGCCGTCCAGGTACTGCCCACCAGAGCAGGCTCCAAACCGCCACCTGCAGGTGGCTGGCCACAGGGCCACCGAGTGGCCAGCCGCTTCAAAGATGGCCTTTGGGCTCTAGCTGAAGCTAAGAGCACAGCACCTTAAGCCATGCCCCTCAGGAAAGGGGGTGGGGCTGTGGCTGCTGGCTGTTATGGAGGCTGCTGTTACCATTGACATAGTGCTCCTAGTGGGTGACTTTTCATGAAAGGAAGTGTCACTTCCTTCCCATCACACGAAGGGTGAAAGGGGTGGGGCAGGCAGAGAAGGGGAGAAAGAAGTGGTGCACCTGGCACTGACTGGGTCACTCAGTGACCTGCTGTGTAGTTTTGACCTGGTCCCAACCCAAGCCCCTCTGGGCATCAGGAGTGTCTGGGATCAAGTAGGCTGATGTTGATGGAGGCACTGCTCCTGCCCCACGCAGCTCAGCGGACCTCACCCACTGCCGGCACTCACACATGCACACTCAAACATAGTTGCACAGTCAAACACTTGTGTACTCATGCACACACACAATTGCAGTTACAGACATGTACATGCAGTCACATATACTTATGTGATAGTCACACACACTCCCACACAATACACACAGCACACTCTTAGTCACATATAACACACACAATCACATATACTCACACATGTACTTGGCTGTGGTTTGTGGGGGAAGTGTTGTTTCTCAATTTGTTCTGCTCAGCATGTTGGGCCCATAGAGTGTAGCATAGCCACCTTACAAATGGGGACACCGAAGTACAGAAGCAGAGACCAACTTGGCAAAGATTCAGCTTTTCATCTGGTGGGCAGGGGAGGCTCTTGTCAGCAGATCCAGGGGAGCTATGTGATGGGAGCCTACAGACCCGCTCAAGGAGTGCAGGCAAGTTTGCACCCCTGAGCACAAATAAGGAACTGGAATATCCCTGCTCCAGTTAAAGAAAACCTCTAGACCTCAGGGTTCATTGTCTCAGGATAGTCAAGCTGCTCTGGTTCTGAAGCCCAGCCATGCCACTAGTGAGCTGTGTGACCTCAGGCAAGTTACTGAACCTTTCAGAGCCTCAGATGTTGTAGGTGTAAAAAGGGGATATTACAGCCACTGGGTGGCTGGGAAGATTCAGTGAGTGTGTGCAGGTTTTTTGGTCCAAAGCCTGCCAGGGCACTGATTTGAGTTTGTATAGTGTGGAAGTGGGGGAGGCAATGGCCACAGGCCACATGGATGGCAGGAAGCATCCTCTTTTGGCGTTAGGGACTGAAACTAACCCCTTCAGGGCTGCAGTTGTAGGATCTGGGGCTTAAGTTGACTTTGACACGCACCACAGACTTGAACAGAAATCAGATTCCCAACACAGGAAGGGCCTTGAGCAGTCCCTGTGCCCAGTACCCAGCATGCCCACTCCCTGCCCAGTGAGGAACTGGGCCACCAGCCTTCCTCTGTGTTCTTCCCAGCAGTGAAGTAAGGGAGTGTCAGGGCCTGTGGAGCTGAGTCCTACCACAGATTATCAAGGCTTTTCTCACACTGTTATCTCACTGCATGAAACACAGGGAATAGGCTCAACAGGAAGGACGTGGAGCCTTTAAGAAGGACTGTTGAGGACAGCAAAGGGAGACCTGAATCTGTGCAGACACGTGATCCTCAAACGGAAGATGCAATACAGAAAGGTGTTACTTCTCCTCAAAGTAATTCCTAGATTTAAATGTAATTCCACGAAAACCCCAGTGTTTTTAAATTTTTAAAATTTGTTGTTGTTATTATTTATTTATTTATTTATTTATCTATTTAATGCCTACAGCACCCGGTATTCCTAGGTGGTCTCCCATCCAAGTACTAACCAGGCCCAACCCTGCTTAGCTTCTGAGATCAGATGAGATGGGTCACATTCAGGGTGGCATGGCCATAGACTTATTTTTTTAAGAGAAGGTGACAGAATTATATTAAAGTTCAGATGGAACTTTTTAAACAGAAGAGTAATGATGGGGACATGCCCTCTGGATAGTAAGTTGTTTTACAAAACCACAAAAATTACAGCAGTGTGCATGGGGCCCAGCATTCCACATGGATGGAGTTGAATTGAAAGTTCAAACCTATCCCAGATGTCTTCCTTAAAAGCCTTTAGATTGGGGGCGGTGGGTAAGCATTTATAATTTTGGGGGGAGGGGGGTCACTCACTTAATACTGGAACCACCTAACCAATGTGTGTGTGGGGGGGAATGTGGTTAGGTCCTTATCTCATACCTTACAGATTCCAGATGTATTCAAAGTAAACAGTGAAAGGACAATCACCATTATTGTCATTATTGCTTCCTGGATGGGAAAAGTAATGTCTGAAGACATTCCTTTGGAGAGCAGGGGTTTTTGTAGTTAAATCTCCTCCTCTTTACAATAGGGCATCTTTGGCTTTGTGCTTAGAGGGGATCTGTGAGTGAGGTAAGGTAGTGACTCATGGCAGCAGCAGTTGCTTAGGGCAGGTGGGTGTCTCCTGGCTCTATGGGCCAGACATGGCTGCGACACTGGGGTGGCCTGTCCAAAAGCCCCTCCCCTCTGAGTCAGTTGAGGGGCGCAGCCACTGTCTCGGGCCCTGGGTAGGAGGGGTCAGCTGGGAGCTGTGCAGGCAGGAGGGCTAACCCATCACCTATGGGGCGGGTTTCATAGCAGAGCCCCTTCTCCAAATGTAGATCTATCTCCCTGGAACTCTGATGTACAAATGACTGGGGAAGGGAGAAGTTCGGGCAGCCAGGCCAGGACTGAGGGCACCCTGGAGGAAGAGGGCTGGGAGTCTCCCCTCTCCCACTTAAAGCTGTAGCAGTGGAGCCCAGAAGGCCCAGCCAGGACAGTGAGCACACTGGCCCTGGTGGGAGAGAATGGAAGCCAAGTTCATGTGGGGACTCAGCTGGGCACAGAGGCAAAGAGTGCGTCTCTTTGTGGCTCTCAGCAAGTGCTCTAATCCTCTTGCTGTCTGGGGTTAAATGGCTCAAATTGGTGACCTCCTTTCCAGGTAACCTGAACGCCAGACTCCAGGAGACCTTCCCTGAGTGTGGCCCAGGCAAGAGCGCTCCAGCTCTGGAACCAAGCAGAAGGGACTAGAGAGCCTCTAGCCTGGTAGCTCTCAACCTGGCTGCCCTTTGAGGTCCCCAGGAAGCTCTAAACTCGGATGCCCCTTGCAGGGCCTTTAGTCAAACTCAGGTAGGGATGGGGAGGCAGGCATCAGTGTCTTTAGAATGTTCCTCGGGTAACTGAAATGGGCCCTGGTCCAACCACTTATTCCTCTGAGGCCCAAGGACAGCAGCTTGCCAGGGTCACATGGCCAATTTGCAGGAGGGTCACAGGAGCAGATGGAGATTTCTTCAATGCTGAGGGTCCTACGGGGAAGAGGGGAGAGAGGGCGTGAAGGCAGAGCAGAGCAGGCAGGCAGGGAGCAAGAGAGACTGGTGGCAGCATGTGCCCCGTGACCCAGAAGACTTCATGGACAGTTAGCAGAGGACTCCAGGGCTTTCTCCACTGTTTCACAGAAGGGAGACTGAGGCACAGTTGCCCAAGGAAAAGCACCAGCCTGGGGGGGGGCGAGTCATCATTAGTGCCCGGTTACTTCTGGAGCTTGGCCATGACTTCAGTGTCAGGAGGCAGCCTAAGAGGATAGCTGAGTTTTTCCCTCTGACAAGCGTTTGGACTGGTTTCTCTTCCAGGCGTATTTAGACTCTTCCTCAAGGTTTTGCAAATGTTGGCAGTAACCACAGCGGCCACAGTGATGGTGGAGCCAAGCCTCGTTCTGAACCCTGGTCCCCCGGGGAGACAAGAACTTAACGCCCGTGGCTTCAGTTTCCCCTTCTTCAAAATGTGATCCCTTCTGAGACTAAATGAGAGGACGTACGTGAGAGTGCCAGGGACACAGAGCTGAGGACCTGTGCCCCTGAGTGACTGCAGGCATAATGGTGCTTATGTGAGCAGCTACCAAAGGGGACAGCAGGCTCTGGGAGCACGTGTCTCTGGGTGCTGCTGGCCTTGTGGGCCATGGTGGCATGGGTCTGTCGTTCTTAAGGACATTTTTTTCTGTCTGAGATGAAGAAGAACCTCTCGGTTCCCCATAGTAAGGACTTACTGAGCTGGAGTAAACCAGGACCTGGGGCCGTTCATACTAGATTAATATAAAGAAGAAAAGAAGAAAGAAAAGATGCTCAAAAGACGGGCTTCCTGGCATCGGATCTGCTGCCAGTCCGCTGCACAGCCCCAGGTAGTTTCCATGGCTGTGTTTTCGGCAGGGACAGGAATGTTGTGTTTTTGCAACCATCAGCTCATGGCTGCCTTGAGTCAGGGCCCTGAGTTCATGCTTACCTGGCAGACAGGTGACAGCAATCTGTCAGGATGTGAGGAGACCAGAGAGAGGCAGGAGCGCCACGTTTGGCTGAAAGGCCTCGCAGAGGCAGCAACTTGTCAAGTGGGTCCTGACAAGTCACCAGGACCCTTGCAGGTAAGGGGAGCAGGGGCAGTGAGGCCTCTGCAAATGCTCAGGGAAAGGTTGATGTGTCACAAACAGGAACTTACTCTTCTTGATTATTCCTGGAGGCTCTGTGATCCCAGCACCCCGCGGTGCTCTGGGGACCTGCAAGCACGGCAGCCTCCGCAGCTTTCTCCGCAGCTTTTCGCCCGAACTGCTATAGAAACGTCCTGCCAAGATTTGGGGCAGGCTTTGGAGATAGGATTTTCCCAAGCGCCACAGCCCCCACACTAGCCTCCTCTGACTTGACCCCAAGCTGGTTTAGGGTTTCCTTCAGAGATATGGGGAGTGGTGGAACTGAGAGAGGCCACCTGTCAGGCGCGGCACAGGCAGGACCTGTGGAGGTGAGCACAGGGACATATGTGTTTACAGGTTCACCCTGAGGGCACAGGACACCCTGCAGAGGAAGAACACTCGCCTGACCTGGCCCTTTCAAACCTGCTGCCTCTCCATGGGGAGCCGCTCCTGGCCCCCTGTACATCCCCATCTGCCTCTCTCTCACCGTCCTCTCCTTCTCTTCCTCTTCTTCCTCTCCTCGCAGCACCTCCTATCAGAGGGAAAAGGAAGCAGTCAGAGGGGGGTGACCCCCCAGACCCACCTGTGTCCCCTCAACCTGATGGTGAGCAGAGTAGGAGCCAGAGCCCCATCCAGCTGGAGGTGAGTTAGGCGTCCCCCCAGGGGACTTTTCCAGATGACCCCAAGCTCTCAGGAGGGAGATGTGGCCCTCCCTCACCCCGCAGAGCTAAGCTGCACTGGGAGTTGTGAGAGCCGGCAGGCCGCAGAATGTGCCCTCCCACTGCAGGGCTGTCAGACTTGGCCTTTATAGCCGAACCCTTTCTTAAACGAAGGTCACTGGAACCCTGATCAGATGAGACAGATAAAAACACTATTCTATGATGTAAAACTTCATCCACATCTCTCTGTCCGTCTGTTCAAATTTATAATGTAGACATAAAAGTCCCTCTGTGAGACCAGTGGGGCAGTTGTGATGAGTGCCATCCAAGGAGGAGCCGTGGGTGACATGGCTCAGCACGGTCAGCCTCAGTACCCGTTCATTTTGGCCGTTTGTTGGGGTGGCACAGTCTGGAGTAAAAATGTTAATTCACGTAGGAAAGCAGTCATAGTTGGTCACAGTTCCTGATGGCCTGTGTGGAGGTCAGAGGACAGGAAGGAAGTGCAGGTTCTCATGGAGAGCGGCTGCAAGCATGCCAGCCCAGCACCTCATCGGCAGGGTGCTGCAGTGTCCTAGGTAATACGAGCCTGCGTGTTTCTTGTCAGCGGTCTTGGATACATCAGAAAACACCAAAACAGCACTTCTGTAGAATATTTGGAGGACCTATGGCTCTCTGCAGTGTCCCAGGCCCAGACAGTTACATCCTCCTGGTGTCAGGGGCCCTCCCATCCTGGACCTGGGAGCTGGCTGTTCCCCAACCCCTCAGCCCCAGCCCAACTGCGCCCTCTGCCCTGAGCCTCCAGCCAGGTGAACAGCATCAGCAGAAACTTCCCCCTGGGAGCGAACACGCCCAGTCCTGTGCATCTAGCAAGTGCACTGGAACCCAAGACATGGCTGTACCTGAGTTCAGCACACAGACTGGTGGGTCAGAGAGGCAGACCACCGTGACAAAGACTCAGGGGGCACAGGCCCGGCCGAGCAGCCCCACAGCACCAGAAAGCACCAAGCCCCTTTGTCTCTTCATCTTTGACCTCAGTGGACACCGAGCCCACAGCCAGGCACAGTCTGGTAGAGGAGTTGAGATGCAGATGTAACAAATCTAGAGCAAGATAAGGAAGTGACCTGTGCCTGGAGAAAGAACTGGAGAAGGTGTGGGGCTGCTCTTATGGCTGTCTCTGGAGCAAGGCCTCTGTGGCCCCTGACCTGGGATGCTGGGCACTAATAGATGACAACTGTGTCTTTCTGATGCCAGGACAATCTCTCCAGCCCAGAGTAGTGGGCTCGAGGCCTACTCCCTGCTGTGGAGACTGGGGCTGGAGCCATGCACCTCCTTCCTCCCCAGCAGCCAGTGGTTCCACCTGTCCCCAGCTACCCACCAACTAGGGGCTGATCCCAGTGCCTCCTGTTCTTTCTCCAGGATGCCCTCGAGGCAGGCGGGGAGCGGGAGGAGGAGCAGGCCTTCCTGGTCAGCCTCTACAAGTTCATGAAGGAGCGACACACACCCATCGAGAGGGTGCCCCATCTTGGCTTCAAGCAGAGTGCGTCCCTGGGGTGCAGGCAGGGAGGGGGCCCAGCAGGGGACTGCACCCAGGCAGGGCATTGGGGCAGGCACCTTCGCTCTGGATGACCCTGATGCTGTCAGCCCACAGGGGCTGCGCATATAAAGGGCATCCCCTCCCAGGTACTGGGCGGGCAATGGGTGGAGCTGGACTTCTATGCTAATCGGCCACTGGCCTGCAGTCCATCGCAATGGCCCAGGTTCTGTGCATGCCTGACAGGGCCATGGAAACGGGCTGCTGGCTGCTCTCTCCTCCCACAGAGACTGACAGCGGCCCTGCCCTCTCATTCTCCAGTTAACCTGTGGAAGATCTACAAGGCAGTGGAGAAGCTGGGGGCCTATGAAATGGTAAGGAAGGTACCTGAGCCCTCCACCATGCCACATCTTCCCAAATGTGCCTGCTGCACCCAGGGGAAGCTGGGGCAGAGCGTGAGCCCAACGAGTTGTCCTTGGCCAGACAAGAAGGAGGCAGGGGGCTGAGTCCTGCCCTCCCCAGCTCTCCTGCATGCTGCGTGGAGGGCGAGGGCCCGCCTTGCCCTCTGTACTTTGCTGCTTGAAGCAGGTTTTCCTCTTCACCATCTGCTCTGCTCTCCCCGAGCTCTGAAAACTGTGTGGGCCAGCAGTCATGTGGCCTTGAGGGGAGAATGGCCTGCCACCTGAGGAGCACCCCCGCCCCGACCCTC